GCTTGCCCCTCGCTTTCGGGGTGCTGGCCGGAGAGATCCCTTCGGGGCCCCGCACGCTCCCTCGGGGACCCCTTCCATTTTCGCGGAGCTGGTGCCCCTTCTCGGTGAAGCTCGGTGCGGAACCAGGTGAGCCGCATCCCGGTGCGTCCCAGCCGCCGGAGTCACGAGAGGCCGGCCAGCCGCTGGATGCTCGGCGCCACCGCTCGCACCAAACCAAAGTTGGGAGACGTTACAGTTTGACGTGAGCGTCGTTGACGCCGGGGTTAGACAGGAAGCGCGGAGAGACGCAGCCCATTAGGCCGGAGTCAAGTTTACCGCTGGTGATTATTTTTTAAAAGACGCCTGCATGTGCGGGGTGGATGGGTAAACCGAGGCTGAAACTGCAGAGGCTGTGCATTCCGTAGGCAGGTGCTGTGCTTTATCGTTAAATGACTGCCTATGGCAACTGTTCCTCATTTGAGACTTGTATTAATTATGAATTAGGAATATTTTTGATAGAGGCAGCCAGTTTTTGGTAGGGACTAAGGTTAACACAAAAATGATTGCTTTACTAAGTGCTCTAGTTCGTTATTACTACTGTTTACTTGCTTACCCAGAAACAGGAGAGGGTGACTTGAAATTTGCTGCTGTTTTAGTCAGATTAATTTAGGTAGCACAGACTCTGTAGGTTAACTTCTTAAGCCTTTCAGGAAAATGATTTGCCTCTCTCCCTGTGCTGGTTTCCTAGGTTGTTAATTAGTGATAAAACCTAAACACAATCTAGAAACATCACCTGTACATAAATTAATAATGATGTCCCTCAAATTTTAAAGATAGTAGCAACTCTGATGCGCACACCTTTAGGTTTGTTGTTGTTGTGCCTGTGATTCCCTTGTAATTTCTTTTCCCCCAGCTTTATTGAGATATGATTGCCAGATATCCCTTGTCATTTCAAAAGTATATAAAGTGGAAGTTGTTTTTAAAAGCTTAATTTAAGAGCAAGCAGAATTTCATGTTTTTGAAGGACATGGAAAAAATGTGCAGTGCTGCTGTTGTAATGTAATATTTATAAGCAACTGAAAAGCTTCCTTTTTTTTTTTACCCTATAATGCATGTAATTATTCCTCTTGCTCACCTTTATAATGAAAGATAGAATTGTCTGAGAAAACTTGACCTTTACTGAATTATTGAGCAGGGAAGTACTATTGTTAGTTCAACACGTCTCAAGGCAAACATCCTGATCTCTCTTGAATATGAGGAAACGTGTTAGGCATGCTCTGGGATTGGAAATACAGTTTAAATTTTTTTTAGTTTCACAAAAATTGAATAGTATAAGGAACCATCATACATCCATCACTCAAACTCAGCAGTTTTCAAGATTTTCTTTATGCCTCTTCTTTCTTATCTTTATTGTTGGCCATTTCACCCTATATACTTAATAATTCTCTCTTTTTGAAAGTGGAAAATTTCTTACATAACCTTAGGATTTTTCTTTTTAAAGTAACTTTAAAATAGAATTTCACAAATGTCCATGTTTCTAGTAAGACAGAACATTTATGGGCCATCTCCTTTAATGACTTTCTTTAGTATTGAAATATATTTGCCATGCCTGTCATTTATTATACGTGTGTGTGTGTGTGTGTATATATATATATTTAAAATATGTTTACCTTGATTGTCACTTACCACGTGCTGGGCTCCGTGCTGTTTTACATAATCATTTAAAGCTCACAAACACTCTGTGAGTAGTTATTTTCCTCCCATCAAATAGATAAGTGAAATGTTAACCTGGAGGTTAACTGACTACTCTAGGTCTCTGAGCCAGTAAGTACAAGAGCCAAGGTTTCAAACCCAGACCCTTGTAACTTTAGCACCTGTGCAGGTATCTGCTACACTCATCTTATTTCAGAATTTTTTTTTTAATGTCATTTGGGCATTCAGTAAATATTTGTTGAGTAAATGAATGAAAGTACATGTTAGTCCACTGATGAGTAGCATTTTTATAACTATGTTTATTTGTACAACTGTGTTTACTTGTGAAGCACTTATACAGGGTGTCCCCCCAAAAATGTATACACACTTTAACAGCTGATAGCTCAATTTTGAAAATGAAATGTACTTAATAAACACTGCTTTTATAATTATTCAAAGTGTGTGTATACATTTTTTTGGGGACACCCTATGTTAACAAGTTTCAGAAATTATTCAGAATAAATTAATTACAGTACTAAAATGTGATACATTTATTACCATAACTGCATTTGCTTGTGGGTTCTTTCTTGGGTTGGGGGCGGGGGCTGGCTTGATCTTTTTAATACCTTATTTCTGGAAAAAATTGTGGAATAACTATATTTGAAGAAAGACTAAAAAAAGGTAGACTCTTTTAGTGTGCTAATTGTTGAAGGCAGGATTCCAAGTATGAAATAGGAAAACATTCATTATTCTGTAAGTGAATAGATCTAAAAGTGAAGATGCAGGAGAAATGCTGTATTTTTTACTTAAGTTCATGCCATGCTGTAACTGCGGAGCACAGTGATGAACGTCAGAGTTGGCTCAAGTGTGCCTGTGGGGATTCTCGAGAAGGAAGAACTGAACTGGTCTGAAGGATCTGAGGGCAGAGAGGAAGTGGGGGAGGAAGGGAGGAAACAGCAAAAATAGGACAGTGAGTACATCAAGAAATAATGTATTTTTTACAACTCTAAGAGGGCAACATATTTCATTTGCAAATGTGTAGTAGTGTTTTGAGAACTTCCCTTAAGAAATAATTTCACAGCTGTATCAGAACACTGAATGACTACGTGTGGAGCTATTCAGCAGTGGGTATAGTAGACACTGAGGTATGTGCTACCAGATGGTAGACATTTCCTTGTTTCATTTAAGCAACTGTTTTATGTCTTCTAGATCATTTTTCTTTACTAATACATATTTAGAAAAGTGTATGTGGTTTAATAACATTTTTATTTTCATTACTATAGTAGATAAGGGTACAGACTTTCAAGCTCACAGCTCCAACACCAAATAGTTGTATAACTTAGAGAAATTTATTTTAATTCTGGAAGCTGGTTTCCTCATCTGTAAAGTGGGGATGATAGTTTTGTAGTATGTAATGGGAAGTGCTTAGCACAGTGACTGCTACTTAGTGTGTGTGCTTAAGAAATGATACCTATTTTTATTCCAACCTGCTTCAATGAGAAATTTCAAACTAAATTAACCTAATCCTCTGTGTGTGTGTGTGCGTGTGTGTGTCTTTTTTAACCTAGTGACTGAAAAAGAAATTAGGTTTTTTGCCCTTAAGTTTTTATCTTACCTTCAAAACAATCCATATAGGCACTGGCTTTGGCAGCACATGTGCAATAAGCAGGCTGGAAAATAGAGTAGAATTGACCCACAATCCTACCTCCCAACAAAGAATCTGCCCTTTTAATCCCCTTAATTTGGGGGAGGGGGCACCAAAACCATAGCCTAAAGGAAGAAATGTATCTCTTCAAAATGTTTGAATCCAGGTGCTTGAATAACTTCCACTTTTCAATGGGAGGAGTGCTTAACTACTGTGAGGTTGATAATGGTGAAGACTGGTTCAAGAATGGTCCGCAGTGTCAAATTGCAGATCCTGCATGGCTAAGAATCCAGCAGGATTTGCACTGACAGTTTGGAGGACACTTATAACTGTTGCTTTATCATTTCTTTTTGTTTAAACACCTTGGCATAGTTAGTTGGACACTTTTCACCACCCTACTCCTCCTTTGTGCTTAAAAATGACCCCATAGCCTTGGCCGGTGTGGTTAAGTGGTTAGTGCATCAGCCCACATACTGTTCGGTCTCAGGTTCAATTCCGGGTCAAGGGCACATACCTGGGTTGCTGGTTGGATCCCCACCCCGGGCTGCATGAGGGAAGCAACCTAT